AACAGAAATTCAGAGAGGAGAATTATAAAGAGCTGAAATCACAGGAATATTAAAGTATTTTAACAATACTTACTGCCAAATGAATTAGATACTACCACTGCAATTCAAAAATATTTACTAAGTATGTGCTATATACCAAGCACTCTAGAGAGTCTAGAAACATGAAGAGGAAGCACAGTTTTACCCGACAGGCAGAAAGGGTGATGATGAGGAGGGTGATGATGTGGAAGAGAAGAGGGTAAGACATTGGAAAATGCATTTTAAAGGTTGTAGTTTTGAGCTGGGTTTTAAAGAAAGTGGAATTTGGCAGGGGAATTATGATGAGATAAAACACCACGTGCAAAGGCAATGACAGAAGTGATCCAGTTTTGAGTCATTCCTTTCCCATTAAGCTTGAGATTGAGTCTTGTTAGTAAAATCAGACAGCATTTGTGGAGAGAAGGGGTGTTTTAATCAGTTACGCCTTGGTTAGAGACCTCTTTATAAGACATGAAGGAATACAGAGCGATCCCTTGAGGATGAGACTTGAAACAGAAACCAAAGCTTGCAAAACCCTCTACATTATGACTGAAGCAGACAAATGATTTAAGGTCACAATTGTATAATACCTATTTGTTTGAATCCCTGTGTTTCAAGATAGGATCATGGTCAGGTTGACAAAACAGTAACTCTACAAAGACCCTAAAGGGCTAAAGAAGAGACCACTGACTATTCCAGCAAGTTCTGAACAATCCGTGCTAAGATCATCTTATTGACTAATTCTAGCCCCCAGGCCCTACAAGTACCCTACTGTAAGCTCCCCTCCCACTTTTTTTTTTTCCAACAAATTCCCTGGTTCTTTTGTTTTGTATTTTCCCTTGCTGCAGCAGGTTAAATCAGTCTCACTTTTTTCCCCTCCACACTATAGGTGTGTTCCTGATGGTTTCTGGACAGAGGGTTTTAATAAATGAGGTCTCATCAAGGTTCATCTGAAACCCTTGCTGCTGTGGACCAGGACTTTTGCTGATATCCACAGCTGAGAGCCTTTGAGTCTCCACTTCCTTGAGGCCACTTAGAAGACAAGTCTCATACCAATATGTGCTCCAAATATTTTGTCGAGCCCTTCAGCACTAATTTTATTGTGTTTGTCTCATGGATGAAATCTCCCAGGACTTTTTGGTTACTTACTCATATTCGTACTTGTTCTCTTAGCCACTAGTCTGTCTATTTACCCTCTGTGTGTGGACCTCCACAAGCTCAGGGGTTCTTGTCCTTTTGTTGGGGATGAACATTTGTTGAATCATTTGGCATGATAGAACCTAGTAGCAGAATGTCATACTCTGGAAGTCATACATTTTTGGCAACATGGCCAAAAGAGTAAGACCAGGATCATTATGGAAGTTTGAAACATTTTCCATGGGCCCCATAATCAATTGAAATTTGTTTCTCTTCACTGGAGAAAGCCAGCTACCATGTGATGAGGACATTCAAATGGCCCCGTGAAGAGGCTCATGTGGCGAGGAGCCTCCTGCCAACAACCAGCATTAACTTGCCCGTCCTGCAAGTGGCCACTGCGAAAGCAGATCCTGAGGCCTCAGTCCAGCCTTTAGATGACAGCAGCTTCAGCTGCAGCATCATCTGAGAGACAACATCTTGACTGCAACCTCCTGAGAGACACCAACCAGAACAGTCTAACTAAGCCACTCCCAAATTTCTAACCCACAGTACTCCATCTAAGAAAATGAATGTTCGTTTGCTTTAAGCCGCCAAGTTTGTGTAACTTGTTATACAGCAATACATAACTAATATAGCAGGTAGCTAATACTAGGACAGATCCCTAATGCATTCGATAGCTAGTGTCAAGTAGCCTTTTCATTTAATGTGGACATGAATGGCGTATCGTTGCCAGAGTCTATAGAATTGGTCCCATATCCGCTTATTATTAAGGTAATGGTTTGGGAAGCACCACAACCATTGGTCAGGAGTGTCTGCTAATCACCTAGAATCTGGAACCAGCAGAAAGCTGAGGCCTTGTACTTCTTCTTTTAGAAGAGTCCATTTCTGATGATAGCTGGAGCCAGGGTAATTATAGGAAGAAGCAGGAACGCCTGTGGACATTGAGTGGGTAGTTGGCATCTAAGACGGCTCCTATGATTAGCCACTTCTCAGTGTTCATGTCTTTGTGCAGTTCTCTCCCTTTGAATGTGAGTATATCTGCTGACTTGCTTCTAACTAGTTAAATATAAGAAAGAGATGGATTTCACTTCCAAGATTAGGAAACAAGAAGCCCGTGGCTTTCCTTTTGCTTGGCCTCTCTCTGTCTCTTGCTGGACTGCTCTGATGGAAGTCACTTGCCATGTTTTAAGTTGCTTGATAGAGAAGTCCACTCGGCAAGGAAATGGTATCTCCAGCCAACAGCTAGCAATTACCTATGACCTTCAATCCAACAGCCCACAAGGAGCTGACTCCTGCTAAGCCCAGAAGGCGATCCACACCTCTATTGCAGCCTTGTGAGAGACCCTGAGCCAGAGGCGCCCAGCTAAGTCATGCCCAAATTCCTAAACAGCAGAAACTACGAGATAATAAGTGTTCGCTGTTTTAGTACATTTTAGGGTAATTTGTTACACAGCCATAGATAACTATAGAGTAGGTAAAATATTACATTGTTTTGATTAATTTTTATAACAATTTTTGTTGTATTATAATAGACAATATAAAGAATAATATTAGAAAATAGGTTACTGTACTATGGAGGTTTTATACACATTCAATTTGATAGAGACTTAGTCACTGATTATTCTGGGAGTAAGGATATATTGTGGACATTGAGAACATTGACAAATCATTAATTTAATCCATAAAGTATATTATAAATGCCACCAGTTGACAATGACATTTAAATCTATCTTTTTTTACCCCTTGTTATTATATTGACAATTATCACACCAGTCATTATGCATTAGCATGAGTATGTCTCCTTTTAATCTGAAGCATATTTATAGTTATACATTTTACTTAAAAAAACTGAACCTCTTCAATTTGTCAAGATTTTGTTTCTTTTATCATACATTTAATTGGAGAACTACTGAAATCATTTTGAGATCATTAAAATTTGAGAATGCCAAACAAATCTAATTTTTGATATTAGCTTTCAATTTATAAAGCAAGGAAGCAAATCTTTATATTACCTTATGGCCATTTAGAAAACCTACAGGCGGTGGCTCTCACCTGTAATCCCAGCACTTTGGGAGGCCAAGGCAGGTGGATTACGAGGTCAGGAGATGGAGACCATCCTGGCTAACATGATGAAACTCCATCTCTACTAAAAATACAAAAAATTAGCCGGGCATGGTGGCACGCACCTGTAATCTCAGCTACTTGGGAGGCTGAGGCAGGAGAATCGCTTTAATCCGGGAGGCAGAGGTTGCAGTGAGCCGAGATCACGCCACTGCATTCCAGCCTGGGTGACAGAGCAAGACTCTGTCTCAAAAAAAAAAAAAAGTAGAGTTAGGTTGTTTAAACTCTCTGGAAGCAGGGAAAAAGAGAAATCACTTCCTGATGTACATAGTATTTATGAAGCTAGAATAACTGTGGGAGCAAACCCAACAGAATAAATGGGCAGTTTGATGTCCAGCAATGAAGGATTCCAGAGAGCAGGGCAAAGGAGTCTCTCAGAGCAGGAGAATGAAGAGGGACTTCCAGGACATTTTGACTTGAGGATCCACAAACTCTGATCAACTCTCTGCTCCAAAGAAGGATTGTGTGCTTGCTAAATGTACTAACTGGTAATTGAACCAGTCCTGACACTCTCCCAAATTAGATGTATAGTGTGTGTGTGTGTGTGTGTGTGTGTGTGTGTGTGGCTGTGAGAGAGAGAGACAGAGAGAGAGGCAGGGCCTTGCTCTGCTCGCTCTGTCATCCAGGCTGGAATACAGCGGCACGATCTCAGCTCACTGCAACCTTGACTTCCCGGGTTCAAGTGATTCTCCTACCTCAGCCTCCCAAGTAGCTGGGACTACAGAAGTGTGCCACCAAGTCTGGCTAATTTTTGTATTTTTTGTAGACTGGGTTTTGCTATGTTGCCCAGGCTGGTCTCCAACTCCTGGGATCAAGCTATCTGCCCGCCTCAGCTTCCCAAAGTGCTGAGATTACAGGCGTGAGCCACTGTGCCCAGCCTAGATGTATACTCTTTTCACTTGAGACCCACCTGTCTCTTCACTTAAAAAAAAATCAAATGTTATATTCTGGCATCAATGATAGAATCTCAGATTCCTGCTCTTTATTACAAAGCCAAATAAAGTGGGGAGATTTCCCTCCTATGACCCTGAAGATATTCTTATTTCACAGCTACTCCCTTGGCCTGGACTATCGATGGACCACAGCAGTTTCATGGAAATCAGCTAAATAACAAGATAGCTGTGCAAAGCTTTCCTATGTGACGAAGTCATTTTTATTTAGAAGATAATCAGCCGTTGTCACATCTTCACCTGTGCTTTAAAAAAAAAAAATTTAGGCTCCGTGCGTGAACCAGGATTAAACTAAAGCAGCAAACACACCCAGAGAACTGAACAAAGGAGAGCGAGAAAGGGTTTAGAGATCACAAGGATAATTATTTCTAAGGATTGCTAGGTGCTGGGAAAGTGTATTCTAAGGGGATGATACTGTGGGTCATAAAAAGCTATTTTTGGTTTTGTTTGTTTTTAATGCATAATCTTCAATATCCAGCCGACTTAGAAAAAATTCATAAGTGATACATGTCCGATATCAAATTCTATTATAAACCGAAAACTCAGCTGTGTTCTTTCCTTCTTTCCACTTATACCCCAAGGCAAGGAATCAAGGCTTCTAGACACCACCGGATGAGTCAAGGTACCGCGGCCCAGACAAGCTAAGCACTGGCTCTGTCACCACATAGACACAAAGGCATTCAAGAAACCACAGCCCTCTGGCTTCGTCGCCCCTTCCTTCATAATCAAATCAACGCAGAGCGTGTTTGTAGAATTCACCCACAACACAAACGGATGCCTCGAAACACCTTGCAACGGTTGGCCGGCAGAAATGCCCACCGAGCGGGCTGTGAGTCACTCGGGAGGAGGAAGGCCTCGGAGGGCAGCCGATCGAAGTCTGACCCAGGGAAAAGTCGCTGGGTTCTTACAGGAAGCGATCTAATTATGTTCCTGTAATCCTCCAGCTCGCATTTTTCAGCCACCTCAACACGAACTCACAGATTTCAACGATTATGTAATTACGGAAAACTTCACAACAAACATGAAGATTCCTTCTGGAGGCCACATTGAAGACCGGGATGTGCATTAGAGCGTGGGAGGGAAGCACGCGGCTCACAAAAGGAAGAGCAAAGAGATGTATTGAACTTAAAAGGCTACATTTGAAAAGGGGCCCCTACCAGACCTCCCCTTTTGTGTGCACATTTTTTGCACCTGCAACTGTTTGTGGGCTCGAAAGCAATAGCCCTCCCCCTTCTCCCAAGAGGCCACGCTTTCATGCCTTGGCCCCAAATGTGTCATTTTCCTGCCAGGGAGAGAAATCAAAAGAAACCAAGTTTTTAGAACTTTGCTGTAAAGAAAATAATAGTTCTGAAAAGGATTGGAGCCACATTTTCAGGTTAGACACAGTTGTTAGAGAAATGTCAGAAGGAAAACATTCCTCTTCACTTTCTTTCCTAGCTCGTTGAAGTTCTTCATTTCACTGGGTTCTGGGTGACATCTGCAGCATCCATTTCAGCTCAGGCTGCAGCAGGCTTTTGACTCCGCAGCATGTAACTGCGCTCAGACCACCGTGTTCAAAGTCAGATTCCAAATGAACCTTGCTGACTCTTCACAGAGAAGATGCTATATAAATCATTTCCATTAAAACAAACCTTTGATACCACCAGCGAATTGTGGAATTCAAACCTCTGATAATGATGCTTGTGAATGAAGTGCTGACAAATGGTCTTGCTTTAGAAGGTGTTTGTGGGGTGGGGCTTGTGTTAGAGCCAGGATCAAACCTTGATTTTGGCCACTGATCCATTTCCTCTCTCCCCACCACCCACCTCATATGTTGAGATGAAAGTTAGAGCAGAAAGCCTCTTTTGAACCATTATGAACAATTTTATTCAAAGCAGCATCTGTGAATTTTTATAAGACTGGCCAAGATTTGCTCAATTATTTCTCCATTCTATCCAGGGGATAGAAAGTTTCAAATCAAGGGTTACAATGGAAGCAAAAATGTGTTGTTCATGGGAGGTAGAATGCATTGCTAAACAGACGGAAGTCACAATAAAGGTCCTCAGTATACACGATAGCTCACGGATGAACTTGGTTGAACAGATTAGAGGAACAGATGCAGATAAAATAAACTTCGCTGTCTTTGGTTTAACTTGAGAGACTGAGGATTTTCTAAATGGTACAAACCTTGATGAATGTTGAGGATATAGGGGTTCTCATATATCTTGTAATATACTAGTGAGTCATCTGGTGAGATGGCTGGAAGTTTTTTTTAAAGTAGACATAATCTCATTAGTGAGGAGAAAATAAATCATTGTCTCAGCTAGAGAGAGTGATCCTTTTGAACCACTTTATGGTTCAATCTTGTTTTAACATGTTTGAAGTAGGTAGGTTTGGGATTTCTGGTTCCTGTAAAGCAAAGCCCATGATGGTTCTTTGATTCAGTTGTCTCCTGGGGAAAATGAGGGAAGAAGGTTTAAGTGGTTTGTTATCACTGGCTACTGAATTACACTTTTTACGCCATTACTTTTTTATTTTTATTTTTTATTTTTTGAGATGGAGTTTTGCTCTTGTTGCCCAAGGTGGAGTGCATTGGCACGATCTCGGCTCACCGCAACCTCCGCCTCCCGGGTTCAAGCGATTCTCCTGCCTCAACCTCCGGAGAAGTTGGGATTACATACACTATTAGTTTTAATGACAAAACCAGCAATTACTTTTGCACCAATCCAATATATGGAGGGATTTACTGATGTATGAAATATGGATTGGGGTGATTAGAAGAGAGAGATGGAAAAGCTGGGATATCAAGAATAAAGGTTATAGGATTAGAAAAACCAGAAGTAGGAAAGATGAGATCAGGTAAACTCAGAGAAAAGCATGAAATAGGAATTATGTTGGGCTACTCAGTAGGAGAAGTGACAAGTGTCTCTTAAACATATGCTGGCCTGACCTTACTGGGGTCAAAGGGACAGTCAAGGAACCTGCCCTGAAAATGCCAAGAGGAGGCAGAGAGCCAAAGAAAGCAAGGGTCAGCCTCCTAGGAGGCCTCCTATCCACACAAATGAGTTTCCCAAGAAAGTCTCATTTATTTCAGGTCCCTTCTCTGGAATAAAACAATTCCCTCTTTGATGGGGTTATATCCATGGGAGGGAAAGGAGCAGGAGAAAATTCAGTGTCAAGGGCAAAAGTAAACTAAGATTATTCACCTGGGAGATATTTTTTGGAAGGTCTGATACCCTTAGGAGCTAGAAGTCAATATTCAAAGATCTCCCATTCCAATGTCATTTAGGCTGCAAGTATGCAGATTTCAGAGCCTGTAGGGGGAACTTATCAGGTAGTGGAATCCTGACACATCTTTTCACTTTGTGAAGCTTCTTCTATGGGTAAATTTCATACTGCCTTGACTTGCACTAGTACTGAATGGGGGAAAGAGCAGTGGAATAAAACCACAATGTCCCAGAAGTAGTTTAATTACAGTTTCAATTAAAGCAGAAAAGGAAAAGATACTTTTTCTTCATTCTTTGAGAAAGCATAGCATTCATTTGGTTTTGTCTACTTCAGTATTCGAAGTTGTCCTCTGGCCAGTACTGGGAGGCTTTTCTTCCAAGGAGAGGGCTCTCCCGCTTCCTGGGAACAGCCTTTGTGTGCAGAAGCCCTGGAGAGTTCAGCAGCTGGTGCTGGGAAAGTTGGGGATGTCAGGAACCCTGGAGCATCAGCAGTAAGTTCCACAAATGTGCACCAAGGGTTTAAAATGTGCTCACCTTTACTTCCAAGCATAAGAAGAAGAGGCATGGGCCAGGCATGGTAGCTCATGCCCGTAACCCTGGCACTTTGGGAGGCTGAAGCAGGCAGATCACCCGAGGTCGGGAGTTCAAGGCCAGCCTGGCCAACATGGTGAAACCTTGTCTCTACTAAACACACAAAAATTAGCCAGGCATGGTGGCGCATGCCTGTAATCCCAGCTACTTGGGAGGCCGAGGCAGGAGAATCACTTGAACCCAGAAGACGGAGGTTGCAGTGAGCTGAGATCATGCCACTGCACTCCAGCCTGGACAACAGAGTGAGACTCCATCTCAAAATAAATAAATAAATAAATAAAATAAATAAATAAAAATAAAAAGTGGAGGCATAAAAAAAGATGACAGTAAAGAGCTGCTAGAAGAAGGTGTCTCTTCTTTTCATTTTGCAGGTGCCATCAACCTGTTCTTTCCATTTTGCAGGTGCCATCAACCTGTTCTTTCCATTTTGCAGATGCCATCAACCTGTTCTTGAATTGCATTCTTTTTGTCTTTGGATCCTTTCTTTCTCCCTTTATTCCAGCACGAAAGGGAGAAAGGGTGGTGGGTTGTAAGAATTAAAGTTTCTTTTGTAGGTATCTCTAGTCTCCCTCCAGCCTTGTGAATCTCTCAGCAATCCTGAGATGCTACTTAGGACCTGCCCCCGATACCCCCTTCTGAAGAATGGCCTGATTTATAGACACTCCCTGTGGTAGTCAGAGGCTATTAGCAACTCTTCAGTTGCCCCACCTTCTAGATTATCTGTCTGCAGTTGGGAAATTCCACTAGCCACTTCCTGAAAACAAACTTTCTACTCTAAATCTGTAGATGACAGCTATTGAGTGCCTGGACAACTTGTCTGCCCCACACACAGTTGTAGAGAAACACCTGAGCCTTTTGGGCCAGCAAAATCCCTCATTCCTTCTCCGCCCTTACCTAGCCCCAGTCTGTTTCATGGATTTTTCAGCACTTCCCCTATCAACTTGGCTTTTCCCTGTTATTTGTAAAAGCCAAGTTGATAATCCCTCAAATTTTGCCAGTAAATTCATGCAAAATAAAAAAGTGAATCATTGTGGATATACAGTTCAAGTTTTGCTAATCTATCCACAGTATTTATGGAGTGACCAATGCGTCCAGGAACAGCCTGGTAGAAGAAGTTTTTATGGAGGCTGTAAACAACAACCACCACCAACAGATTAGATGCCGGTTGCAAAATTCAAGACACTCAGGAATCAACTAATACAACATCTATATGGCATAAGAAGTCTTTCAAATACTTCATTAATATATTAACTCACCACAAATCAGTTTATATTCCAGAGTATAGTTTAATCAAATATTGTTTTGATGTAGCTACACACATTTCAACGTTAAAAAGTATACATTAAGAGTTGGTATTCATTTATTTGTCACCAAAACTAAGCTCTTGAAAACTCGGTATACTAAATATGTGTATTTTAAAAAGATGTTGCTTCTCCCTCACATTAATAGAAATAGTTACACTTGAAGAGACACACATTATATCAGTTTTTTATATTGATGTTTCTGAATTAAAAAAGAAACAGTAAATGAATTAAATCTAATGTAAGGGAACAGCCTTAAACTCTTGGACTGGGGGTAAAACCAGCAGGCGGATCCAGAAGGAAGGTTTGCAGAGTGTTGCTCAGGCAAACAAGATATAAAGGAAAGAAAGTCCTGGATGTTGTTAGGTAGAACAGGACATTGATACCTAAGAACATTAGGTCTGAGGAAAGAGTCTTTTTCAAACACAACTACCTTGGAGAAAATTTGAACTGCCGTCTCTCAGTGATTCCTTTTAGGATAATTTCCTGTTTGCATGTTTACCATGTGCAATAAAGAAATAGTTCTGTCAGACTTCTAAGAAAAGGGGCTACTCAGCTGACTACTGAGACCTACCAGCCCTTCCTAGTCTTGAAACCAAATCTGGCCTGAGGCAGAGAGGACCCAAGGCGACTGAGGGGAACTCAGTATTAAGGTATCCCTAAAAGTCATCCGGCCAAGATCTCAACTTCTTGATTTATGGGTTTCTGCCTTGTAAGACCTGGCCCCTACCTAGGGATGCCTGAGTCACTCCCAGTAACCTGCCTGTTCCCAGGATTCCTCCTGGCCACTTGGTTGTCCTCCCAGTGAGTAGAGAATCACCCCCATCTGTTTCTCATGCCTGGTACTTTGTGTTGGGTTGTGTGCCACTGTCTGCCTCCCTAAACCTCTGCCTATCCTCTGGGTGCCCTTTCTGCATCTAATAATCATCATTCCCATTTATTGAACATTCAGTGTGTATAGCAGGCACCTTGCTGAGCACTTCACATATATTGTCTGAACTAATCCTCCCAACAAGGCCATGAGTCATATTATGATTCCTGTTTTATAGAAGTGGAATCTGAAGCTTTGCAGGATTAACATGCTAGAAAATGTTGAAACTGGGACTCAAACCCAGATCTGTGTGTTCCAGAGATGGTGCTCTTGGTGGCTTTGCTGTCTACTCTCTCTTCAGTTAGGTGGAAATCTGCAGTGGGTCCCTCTCCCCTCAGCAGCGGGCAAGCTTAGTCTGGGTCTTTCTCACTGCATCTGTGTTCTGATATATTACAGGCTCCTTCTGACTCTTCCATGTATTTTATAAATAAATGTGCTTTTGTTCATCACAACAGTCCCTCAAAAGACATCATAAAAGGAAAAGAATGGAAAATTTTGGAGAGGAAGTTTTCTGAGACCATTTACGTGACAAAGAAGTCAGGAAAATGTGGCATTGTTGTGATTATCTTCATCATTTCAGGATCTGAAGTGGCTCAGAAAGAAAGACACTCTGAAAGGAAGATGGGCTTCCAAGGGATGTGACTCATGAGGAGGAATATAAAAGACAGGAGAAAAGTGACTTGTCAGATGGACAATGGGCTTTTATTTGAAGCATATGAAGCCATATGGAAGAATACACTGAGGTGGAAGTTAGGAAGGGAACAAAGAAGATATAAGAAGATGTTGCCGGCTGGGGCTGGTTGAGGGGGTGGGAAGGGGTGGGGAGACAGAGCAAAGGAAATGAGTGAGGAAAGACACAAAGACAGGAGACCTTTGTGTACAAAGCAGAGAAACAAATGCCCTACTTTTAGCATCTTGAAAAGATGAATGAAAACATGAATGAAAATAAACTTCTCCTAATGCTATTTTCCAAAAAACACAAAGAGCTTCAGAAACTTTCTGTAATGCTGTACATTACCCAGGAGAAAATCTTAATCTTCTCTTCTTTGATAGGCAAAAGATAGCAGAAAAGAGTTTCCAGTCTCATAAAGGGATGATTTCTGGAAAAAGACATGAAAAATGGGTTTCCTAAAAGAGATACCAAAAGTTTATTTCTTTGAGCTTGTCTATTACCTCGGTAAGCCTCAAGTAGGCCAAAGAAAACAAATCTAGGCAGAAGAAGGGAATCGGCTTCTTTTTCTGGTTCATTTCACCACATCTCCACAAGGACATGGTCATTCGTGTGTAGCTTTCTTTGGTGCCACTTATCAGCCCTCAAATAAAAATCTGCAGGTGACTTTTCCTCTGTCTCTGAGGAAATGCCTGTATCAGAAATCTCTGTTTATAATACCACGTACCTCAGAAAATGCCATCTGGTGCTCTTGAACTTAACGTTCTTATACAAGTTTATCCTGATGAAATCCTTGGCATTTTCCTGAGGCTTTTCTTGCCTTCCTGCCAAATGTTAATTGGTACCTGTTCCTGTAAGTCTTGAATTCTCCTTTTCCAGCTGCAGAGATCAGCCTTAAGGGCTTTTTTCCTTTACTTCTAAACCTTTTCCCCAAAACTGCATCCTGGTTCCCAGCCCTGATCCAAGTCTTTTCTCTAGGCTCTGGATTTTTGGGGTTCTTTCACTGAGGCCCTTACACTGGATTCTTAGTTTGGAAACTTGCTTAGTTTCCAATTTCTCTGAAGTGACCTCCAGTTAACAGAACTACCTGCCGTGCGGTTTTTTTTTTAAGGTTTGCAAAATACATTCAGTAGGTCCTGCTGTCAGTCACCATATGTGCCTGAACCTCCCACAGTATCTACATTGCCATCCAGCTCCTCCTAGATTAAAAACCCACACATATTCTTCCTTTAACATTCATTTTCATTTCTATTGCCTTTTCTGTAACAACTTAAGCCTGTGAAATAGCAAAATGGAGGGGAAAAATCATTGATTTTGTTGTAGAGAGATCTAATTAAAATTTTTTAAGTCCTGGTTTCCTTCTTTATTTTTTATTTTTATTTTTGGCTCACTGAACTTTGGCAAGTGACCTAACTTCTTATTTCTTTCTCTTTAAAATGAGAATGATGGTAGAGTTTTAAAGATGAAATGAGATAATATATTTAGGTGGCTAGCACATAGTCAAGTGTACCAAAAACACTTGTTGGATAAAAGAATGAATAAATTAATGACAGGAGCAGCCAAAAGAGACTATGGTTTTTGCATATCCATGGTGAGCTAGCTCTATGGGAACATTCTCTCTGTTTAGTAAGGGGTGACAGATACTTACGCACAAAATGACCAAGCAATGCAGTAGATGCAAATGATGAAGGAATGTGCAGGAGCTCTGGCGTACAGAAAAAAAGGCACCTAACCCAGTCTTACGATGGAGAAGAACCAGGGAGGAATTCATGACTCACATCTCCTGTTAGATCTGTGTCTTTTGGACAATAGCTTTGCCTGCCTATTGCACACTTATCAATGTATTAATATTTGCAGACCAAAATTTTCTGTAAGACAGTGTACGATGATTCCATGTTGTATATCACACCACAGAAATTCAACGACCTTGGGTGGTGATGTGGTAAGGTGACAGCTGGGGAATATTAAGTGTGTCTCAGGAAAGATTGACTTTCTTTCCAGGGCCCACAAAAGGTGTATTTTGGAGACTTGATATGAAATATCAAGTGTGGGGATTTGCATACAATTATGGGACACAGGAAAACAGAACTTGCTCCTTGTTTTATTTCCTAAGCTGTGTAGCATCTATTAAGGCAAAGCCCAAACTTCCTTATTACTTAGTTTTGCAGGTACCAGAATTACTAGTGTCATATGAGACAGTGTTAATGATGTGCGGTACAGATACTCTTGGAAATGTCTCCAAAGTTAGCCATTTTCTATAGATAGATTCCTAATCCTGACGGTTGTTACTTCAATACCACAAAAAGCTTGCTTTTCTTTTCCATGAATTTTTAAACGATACATTTTTTACATTAAAATAAAGACTTTTCTCCTAAATGAAAGTTCCAAAATGCTAGAACTGACTCCACAAATATTTCACCCCCAATAAAAAATATTGATTTAATAATATAGTACCACTTTCTACTGGTAAACATTTTCTTCCTAAAGATAGAGAAAGGCCCTGTGTTGTAGATGAGTATTGTTCCTCTGTTTCACAGATGGGAACATTGATGCATGGGTGTAGCATATCGTTTGCCTGAATTTTCATAGCATCTCGGGAGAAGACCTGGAAATCTAGTCCACAATGTCTGTATATTTATGTCTGTTGCTTAGTCATGAGACACAAAGCATCTCAAAAACTACCAATATCATTAAAAATGTCAGAGGAGATCAGTGGTTCCATTCTCAGGATGCGAAATGTGATAAACTGCAGGGAGGAAGATAGATCAACTCGGAACAGAAAAACCACGTTTGAAAGCATTGGAATCTCAACTTCAACTTTGAATATTGTTATTCGAGAACTGGAAATTGATATGGGATGACTGCATTACATTTGGCCACCTTTCAGTAATGCCTATGCTATTCAAAAATACTTGTGCAAACTCAATTTCCAAAAGTTATGAGGGGACTTTTTGTTTAGCAAATTGTTCTTGTAAAACTTGTCTGCTGTTAAACTGTAGACACAACTCCAAGGAATCTCTTACTAGAAAGCATTGCATTATTCCAACATGAATCACAGACGAAATTGACTATTTTCCCAGGATGTTATAACTGACTGTTGTTCTCAGCTGAGAACTAGGATACTTTACTACGTCTGTGATTGAAATGCCCGTTGAATAACAGTTTAACCAAGCTGGATTTGGTATGAGTTTGTTGTATGTGACGGGTACCCAGTGGAATGTGGTTAGGGCAACTTCCAATTCAACAGACTATGAATTAGAGAGAATGTGCGTAGGGGACATTGAACACCACACACTTAAATCACATTTAAAGTGAATCTATCAAACACTTCCAGGACATTCTGCCTTTTGCCATCTGGATGGTACGTGCAATAAAATTCCAACCTGGAAACGGGAAGTCCCTCTAGGATAAGGACTTTGAGAATGAATTTTTTGTGTGTAGGAAAGTGGATTATGAGCGTCATATAAGACTCGTTAAGTTCCCAGATGCCCATTGCACTATAATTGGCAGTGCGTAGATCAGGAATACACTTTAAAAATATTTTTTATCGTATATATTTAAGATATACAACCTTTCTATATATTTTGATATACATATCAACTGAAATGATAAGTACAAGTTGAGCCAATTAACACGTCTATCACCTCACATATTACTTTTGTGGGTGTGTGTGGTAAAAGCACCTAAAATCTACTCTTTTAGCAGATTTTCAGTATACAATGCAATATTATTAGCCATAGTCCTCATGCTGTACATTTGATCTCCAAACTTACTCATGTAACTGCAACTTTGTACCCCCCGACCTACATCTCCCCATTCCACTCCCTTTCGCCTACCCCTGGCCACCTCTAGTAATCACTGTTCTATTCTGTCTTCTGTGTATTTGACTTTTTTTCTTTTTTAAGATTCTACATATAAGAAATATTATGCCATATTTTTCTACGTCTGGTTTCTTTCATTTAGTATAATGTCCTCCAGTTTCACACATACTGCAAATGGCAGGATCTCCTTTTTAAAGGAATTCCTTTCAAAAATAATATTCCATTACGTTTATATATCTATATACCTATCTATCTATATCTATATCCATCTCTATCTATATGCCACATTTTCTTTATCCATTCATTTGTCAAGGGACACTCAGGTTGTTTCCGTATTGTGCCTATTGTAAATAACACTACAAAGAACATAGGAGTGCAGATACCTCTACAAGTTTCATTTACTTTGAGAATGTACTCAGAGGAGGGATTCCTGGGTCATATGGTAGTTTCATTTGTTTGTTTGTTTTTGAGACAGGGTTTTGCTTTGTTGCCTAGGCTACAGTACAGTGGCATGACCGCAGCTTACTGCAGTCTCCTGTGCTCAAGTAATCCTCCTGCCTCAGCCTCCTAAGTAGTTGGGACTACAGGTACATGCCACCACACCCAGTTAGTTGTTTTGTTTTGTTTTGTTTTTGTAGAGACTGTGTCTTGCTATGTTATACAGGCTGATCATGCACTCCTGACCTCAAGTGATCCTGCCACCTTGGCCTCCCAAAGTGTTGGGAATAAAGGTGTGAGCCACTCTGCCCAGGCTTTATGGTAGTTTCCTTTTTAATTTTTTGAGGAGCCTCCACACTGGTTTCCACCGTGGCTGTACCAGTCTACATTTCCACCAACAGGATACAAGGGTTCTTCTTTCTCTCTATCCTCCCCAACACTTGTTATCGCTTGTCTTTTTCATAGTAGCCATCCCAACAGGTATGAGATGACAGCTCCTTGCGGTTTTGATTTGCATTTCTCTGATGATTAGTGATGTTGAGCACCTTTGCAAACACCTATTGACCATTTTTACGTCTTCTTGGGAATGTACTCTTACTTCCAATCTTACCCACATTTTTGTTGATAGCATTTGTGAGACAAGGAAATCCGAAATGCCGTGTTTTTTTCATGAATTCACCTAGCATTCAAACAGTGCTTTGTTCTTTGAAGATAGTTTTACATATCCCATTTTTCCCTCACAAAAACTGAGTGCACTAGTTAAAAGGCATTATCATCTCCACTTTTAAAATAAGGTAACTGAGACCCAGAGGAAGCACGGAAGACATTTGCCTAAGATAAAATAATAAGTTGGCAGCAGAACTTAGACTAAAATCCAGATTTCCTTTTTTTTTTTTTTCATTTTAGTAGTTTTTATTTGCTTTTTAAAATCCTATTGTACAATTTTTCTTTAGGTACTTTTAAATAGACTTGGTTATTTTCTGATTTCAAACAGCAAATATTTGGCAGTCACTCCACATGAATAACCTCTGTCTTGGTTCTGGGAATGGAATACTTGTGGCAAACTTTTTACTATGGAAAAACAATACAATGATTTTTATTTCATGGATCCATGAGGCGAAATAGCATTTTTTTTCCTACAGAAATTCGAAGCTCCCTTGATTGATTTGTCTTTGTTTTAAAAGTTAAAAAATATAGAAAGGTGTAGTAGATAATATGAATGTACATCCACACATGATTGACCAGTATGGACACGTTCTATTTTTTGCATTATATATATAAATAAATATGAAGCTAATATATCTCTTCATTTATTCATCTTTTGTGTATTTTAATAACATAAAATTCAGATCTTTTGAGCCAGAAGCCAGAGATTGTGAGGTCACACAGACCACATGGGAACAGAAAGCTTAAAGGTCTGACAGGAAAAGTTTACCTTACCAAGTTCCTTCCCCAAGTAACACAGAACCAGCAGATCCCCAAAATAATGCTGCTGGGCTTTCCCTGAGGCAACTGTTGGGGCATTATTTGCTGTGTTTTTCTAGAAGCTTTCTTCTAAAGTTTTAGGCAGTACCTTGGCCCACACCTGGCTCTCTAAGAGGCTTTGAGTCATTCTTTCTTAAAATGTATTTGTTGATTTACTAGCTCCCAGTGAAAGGGAAAGGGGAAAGGGCCTCGGGCAAGGGGAGCAACTGTAGCTGTTATTTGTGCAAAGTAGAAATATAATTGGCTGTTTTTTCTTGTCTATTCAAGTTCCCCAGATCAGCTATTAGGAAGGGTGAGAGCTGACTTAGTACATTTAGAAACGTAGAGGAAAACTGAGGTAATGTGAGACCTCAGGGGCTTTTCGTTGTTGTTGTTGAAAGATAAACACTATTTTACACTCAAGTCCTGTAATACATGTGGCGTAGAGACTGATGAATGACTCATTTGTTGTTGGAAAGTGAACAAACTTGCCTAATGATATAGTTTTCTTTTCACTGTGTGCGTGTATGTGTGTGTGTGTGTGTGTGTGTGTGTATGTGTGTTGCATATGTGTGTGTGTGTTCTTTCTGGGCAATGCCTCCCTTTGACTCATCTCATAGTTTGAATTATGGCATTTTAAAAAAATTGGCAAATTCATTTCTTTCAGTGGTTGCTTCTAATTTTAAATATGTGTCTAAAGCAACAGAACTACAAATGAAACCCTAGTCTTTGATTGTTAGGGACTTTGGGGTAGAGAAGGCAAATCAGAACAATGCCAAAAGGATATTTCTGAAAATCCATACTTTAGGGTAGATTGATTTTTTAAAGAATCCTGTGCAAAAAAAATTAAGGGCTACTGATAAAATTGCTATGCTCTATCTCTTTGGTTATAAAAATTAAATACATAGACACATGCTATAAAATTATATCAAATTGATTGTGACAATTCTTTGTATGATTCCTTTGTACTGATAGAACTATTTCTTTCTCTTCTATTTGGGCTCCACCTTTTTTCCTGTTTGTGTAATTCACGTCAATGCTTTGCTCGAGATTAAGTCAGAGATGAGTTATGGGTTCTGGAATGTGAAATCCTCTGTTTCAGTACGTACGCATTCAACCGGGGACAGCACCTCCTTGACTGGTAGAAGGGAAAGAGCGACCCAGTCACTAACATCCTTTTCAAAGCACTGGGCTACTTTTTGTGGGTGTTCTTATGCTTGTACGCATTTCTTTTCATCAGTCTTCTCTCAGGACAACTTGGATTTCCAGATCATCCAAAGCTTTTTGGAATCCCATTCTGTGTTCTCCTTTGTCGTGTGTATTCTAATCCTTATCTGTGCTTCTTTCCACGTTTTTGAGGTGTTATCTATCGACTCCTCATCAGGTGAAGCAATGTGAGGCGACAAACTGTGAAAAGCTTTAAGAACACCCTCTTAAATTGTAGCTCTTGAGTCCCAGAGTTCAGAAGGGAGTGGGAAAACTATTCTATAAATAAAAATATCTGGAAATACTCTGGAGAAGATTGACTCTTCTAAAAGCAAATGCTAGTTAACATGCCCAGACAAGTTTTTTGCATCTTTACTTGGAAAAGAGAATCTACGACACCCTCTAAAATATCAAGTAGTCTTAAGTGGATAATGTTGCTCTAGTTGGTTTCACTATCAAAACCATTTAAAGCTTCAGTAACTTATAAGATAATGTATCCTAAGGGACTAACTTCTGAACATGAATTTAAAGGTACCTCTGATGCCTGTGCTCTAAATATTCATTAATAACATAAATGATGTCCTTAGTACAATTAAAACAATACTTTGGCTATTGATACTTGTCCCTTTAGGGATTCTTGATTTTCTGTGCATGCTTATTATTTGCCCTTACATAAGCACTCACATGATATTGTCAGTAACTGAGAGTTGGATAACCGGCTTGTTTTTCAGGCTACCAATTATTCTTCCCTGCTTACATCTTGTGTGGGCTTTTGGCAGACATCAGCTTCTAGCACCTAGAAGGCACTTCCTTCTCCAGAGTAACTTTATGGAAACAAGGACTTTGTTGCAACTGGCTGAGCTTGAAATGAACACCTCCTCTGTCTGCTTTACAAAATAAGTGGAGACTAACTGGCCTAGGCAAGTTTTCTGTATTCTTGGATTGATTAGTCCTTGCATTCTCTTTGCCTCTTCTCAGACTATCTCTAAATTTAGCAATGCGATATGGTACAAACAGTCTTTCACGTATGCTGTGTCACCAAGGGGATTTCAGGATTGTTTCATCGGTCTGCCTTGGCAAAGCTGACGCACTCTCCCATTGGTCTGTGCTCAGGAATCTGGGTGGGAAGTGAAAGTACAGACAAGCCTGCCAAGGCGAACTCCATCATGCAAGAGCTTGCTGCTGTGTGTGGGTCTGAGACCCAGATTCGGGCCAATTCAAAATGAAAACCTTCAAATGAGTGCTCCGAGAGTAAAATGAAAACTGAATCTGCTTGCTGCATGTCGATGAGGTTCAAAAGATAGCAACGGTTTTGGGGTGCAAGGTCAAGCTGAAAAGTTAAAAACAGAAAGGGACCTTCTTTCCTCCGCCTAAATAAATATCCTTTCCTAGAGTTGTCACTGGAAAGGTGGCACAGAGGAAGGTCGAGTGATCCCCTCTCTGGGGTCCACATGCCCACTGCTGGGCCACACCTCACCCAGGCCCTTCCCTTGTGAACACCTCACAGAGGGACCGGCTCCAAACTGACCCTGAAGAATTATGTGAAATCCTTCTCGTTTAGAGCTTTAAAGGGCATAAGAGAATTATGAGGATTTGGAAAAACTAGGACTGGGTCCATGTTTATGCTTGCAGCCTTTTACCAACAAATACATATGTACATATATGTACATATATATATTTTTCCCTTTAATGTTTCATAAGATATTTTTATCACCTAAAGGAAGACAAATTAGCTGAGCTTGTTTGGCATAACACATATCATAATATTTTTTACTTTTAAAAATCTGTTTTTTTCTGATATCAATTCATACTCATTGAAAAAATAGTCAAATGTTACAGAAATGTGTAACAGAAAACAAGAGGGTGTCCCTTTCATGACACCCCCTAGGAATAACTTTCATTAGGAATTTGCTTTATATCCTCAATTTTCCCCCCACAGATGCTCGCCCTATCTAGCTAGCTAGCTATTTTTTACGAGAATAGAATCTCCTTGATATACTAATAAATTGCTATTTTATTCTACTCAACTACCTTTCCATGTTTGTTTATAAAGATATCATGGTTTGTTTTTTAAACTAGACTTTAAAAAAAATAAAAGTTTACACAGAATAAAAGCAAAGAATACAGAGAACTGTTTATTAAAAATAAAAGTGCTTTCCTTCTGTCCTCCACCCCACAGTAACACTGTGGTCTTTGGAATCCTGCAAAAACATACACAAGGGTATGCATATGTACTTGTTTACTTCTGTGTATGTTTTTTTTACATACATGGAATTGCACTATATAGTTCTGCAGCTCAGTTTTTGAAATTTGGTATTAAAATGTTCTTTCAATTAAGGCCAAAGGGCATTTAACTTGAAGGTAAGACAGTCCCTTCCAGGAGGGCGGAGCTGATGTCTGTCTTGCTCATCGCTGTGTGCATTTTGCCTGACATGTTGCAAACACTCCATATGGAAGTCTTGAGGGTCTTCTGCTCCAGTCAGAAAACTTCCGGCAGAATAGTTATCCCCAGACCTCGGAGGCTCGACGGATACAGGAAAAACTTTCTTTGATGGATTCGATGTCAGAATCTCCATGTGAATTTCCACTTAGAGGTGTCACGCTATGGTGAGTCCCATTCCTGAGCATGGTAACAATTTGGTGCCCCAAAGTCTATAGGGGACTGCACGTACCTGGCTGGGGAGGGAATAAGGAGGCCAAAGAGGTCAGCAGCCCTTGGTGCTGCTGAAATTCTCCCTCAACCTGCAATCAGTAAAATACATCTAATCTTCTTTGGATCAGAAAATTCAACTTTGATAGCAGAACAAGTATTCTTAGTAATTAATAAGATTATTAATAAAGAATCTTAAATTCTTAGTGGATTCTTTTAGTGAATTACAAAACTAGTTGTGTGCATGCATGCATGTGTAGGCTGAACTAGATCAGTAACAATAGTAAATAATGTGTGTATTTGAGTTCTAATGTATCAAATTACAATTTATGTAAGACATCCATTCTATAATACTCTTCCTCACCAAACAGTTTCTAATGTGATAGTTGGTATTTAATTCTCTAGTGCTGGAAAAAGAAAGTGATTCATGTCACTGAATTTGTGCATCATTTCAGGGCATTAAAAAACCCAAATAACATTTCAGAAGACTTTTGATCATAATTTTGGAGTTAATAGAAATTAAAATCAATATATGGTAGCCTTGAGTAAGAGAGAAAACCTGTCTATTGGAGAGACTTCAAAGGTCAACCGATCCCAGAAAGGCTCTAACTTATTAGAGACATTTATCATGCACTGCCTTTGGGACATTAAAATGTCACCCTCAGGATTTATGGTTTTTGCAAAATGTGTACAATTTCTGTGGGGAATTTTTCTTATCCCAAAGGACAGAGATAATAGAAAGGAAGCCTTTTATTAGGGCTTACTTTTAAAATGTTCTGAAAGCACTAAAGAGTCAGGATGACTGTTGTCCAGCTGGCTACAGGCAGTTGGCACATAAATCACAAGGAATTGGCCATAGCAAGCCTCTGTACAGAATGGCTCACACAAATTGGCAACTGATCATTCCCTCTCCTTTATTTCTGTATAAACTGTTTACAGAAAACTATGTGGCAGAGTGTCTGAGAATAGTGACATTCTAATCCCTAGTAATTCCTAGGAAATGTAATTGTAGGAACAAATTTCGTAAAGTGCCTTCAATCTTATATAAATCTGTATAAATCACAGATCCCTTTAAATACCATTTGGACAGCAGAGCTCTAGCTGGAACTGCAACCTGACTTGCCTCTGGAGCTTCCTGAAGGCAGCTTGCCAGTTCCCTGGTGGAACCCTTGCCTTCCCAGGCTGACCAACCTTTGCCAACAGCTGTCAGTTCTTTCCAGATAATTTGGGGCAATGTCACCCCATTTGCTGTGTCAAGAACTTGCCCCTTGAATTTTAAAGGCATCTGCATTTCATAAGAAAACCCAGTTTTCTGCTGCTGACTTATTTACACACAGAGTTGCAGATGCCTAAATTGAAGTGACTTGTTGCTATTCTTGGCTGTGAACGGGCTCTCTCTGTTGAAAACTGAAAACCTGTGTGGTGGATGGAACGAGTCCTGTTGAATGGTGCAAATGTCCCCTGCACAAAAGCACTATTAGTATGAATGAGGAATGACAAAGTGAGGACTGGACATAATTTGTTAACAGCTTCCAAAGTTGATGAGGATCAGTGAAGATCCTCCTGGAATGCAGGGTATCCATGTTCTTCTTTCAACCTTCACATCATAATAAAATAATAGTTTGTATTTGTACAAATGTATAAAATAAGTATCATGTTAAAGACATAAATCTGTGAACACAGAGCAGGTAAAGTTTTCTTTTTGGTGTTCACATGGGGAAAATCAGATGACCCAATGTAGAAATGGACACTGAATTTGGTTGTCATCCAAATGGGTCCATGTCACTCTTCAAAATGCATCTCCAGTCCTGCCCCCTTCTCCATTTGTGCTGTCACTGACCCACCCTAGGCCTCCAGGATTTCTCACCTGGATGATGTCTGTACCCCACTAAATTGTTCCTCTCATTGGCTTCCATTAATTTATCTTTTTGGACCATTGTCAAATTGTGATCCATATATTGCCCATACCTATTATGTCATTCCCCTGTTTATAACCTTTTGGAGTTTCTTCTCACCTTACAGAATGAAGTCCAACTAAGACTCTGAGTGTCACCTCTGCCTGTTGCTCCAGGCTCAGTCCCATGCTTCTGTGGGCATCCTATGCTAATAGGCTTGCATTCCTCATGCTAAATGATCTCTGTCACCTCTGTGCCTTTGTTTCTGTTGCCCTCTCTACCTGAGAGGTTTTCCCCTTTCTCTTGGCTGGGCTAACTATTGATTATCCATTAAAATTCAACTCCTACACTGCCTTCTCCAAACATCCTTCCCTGGCACACTGTCCATCAGGGTAGGTAAGCTGCCCAGCCCCTTGTGGACCCCCTAGTCCTGCAGGCTTTTCTCTCACTGCACTTGAATATTGCAGCATAGTAACTGCAATGTCTGGAGTGTGTTTGTCCTCTGCAAAGTTCCCATGTTGAAATCTTACCTCCAAACTGATGATATTAAGAGGTAAGGCCTTTGAGAGGTGATTAGGTCATGAAGCCTCCAACCTCATTAATGGGATTAGTGTCTTTATAAAAGAGGCCCAAGAGGGCTTGCTCACCCCTTCGGCCATCTGTGAGTTGGAGAGCTAGCCCTCCTCAGACACTGAATCTGGTGGCGACTTGATTTTGGACTTCCCAGCCTCCAGAACTGTGGAGATAAATTTCTGTTGTTTATGAATTATCTGACCTAAGACACTTTGTTATAGCAATCTAAATGAACTAAGACAGTCATCTAATTATGCATCCTCTGGTCTGTGACATGCTTGAACACATAAACTGTAACTTACTCATTGTTGTGTTCTTACCCAAATACAGCACCATGTCTGACATATAGTTGGTACCTCATAAATGTCTGACGAATGAATAAATGAGGCTGGATAGGCAACATGAGGTAAAAGAAGAGTTTATATTTTCATACTAGGTTTATGGGATTTATATTTGGTTTTATATAAGATTTATGGTAGGTTTTACATAAATTTATATAAGCCTTATAAGAAGCATATGCTTATTTATAAATAAGTAGAATAATTAAAAATAATTTCTATAGCTTAAAAACACATTAGAGAGCATCTAGTCCTGTGCTTTTCTTTTACAAATTGGCAACCAGAAGCCCAGAGAAGTTATGACCTGTCCAAGACCCCACAGTAAGGTAATAACCTCTGAACAGATGCACATATAGTATTTGTCAGTCCCACTTTATGAATTGAGGTTTGTACAATATATGCTTTAATATTTATGTTCAGGTAAAGAATTAATACCATGGTTCCCTAATGGCACATTTAACCATACATATGTACAAATTAAGGCATACAAAGTGCTTAATATTGTAAACTGTTCCTCAGCCGCCATGTGAAACTAAGGTAAATACCACACTAACTCTTAAATATTTCTGGAACCACCAATTCGAAGTTGAAGAGGAGCCACAAAATTTCTGCTCAGCGCTACTGGGAAGTGATACTCGGTTCTGCGATTTGAAAGGACTTGACAAGTTAATCAATTTGTCTTTTACTTTACCAAAGTGCCCCTGCGACCGAATACTCCCCATATCCCAAAGCATCGCCCATCTCAGCTGTCAGCAGTGGCACAGCCTGCAAGTCTTCATGGCACATTTGGTCACAGTCCTTTTGTCCTGACGACATCGGGCAAAAGAAGTGCCACAGTGTTTCCCTGGGGCCTGAAGAGTATTAATCACACAGTCAGATGTTGGGCTGTGTGGTGCCAGGACTGAGTATCCATTTGTTGATTAGTAAGTGTGTGTGCTTGTGATATGGGAAGTCCTTTAAAGCCAAGGGCCCAGGGCTCCCTCTTGCCTCAATCTATGAGGAGTATTAAATTGGAAAGAAATTCATACAAAGTAACTATCAAGCTCACCATTAAATGCCCTATTAAGGTATTATCTGATAATTTAGAATAAGGTAATAGTGCCTTAGGGTACCTAATACAGGTTTCTTACATTCTTATGGCACTGCATTTAGGATCATCTAAAGTATAAAGGTCTAAGGGGAAAGATCAAGAAACTGGGAATTTGCAGTCCTGGATTGTTTTCTTAAATCTACTAATTACCTACTGGGTAACTTTGAGAAAACACAACCTGTTAATGGTTAGCCATTTCAGTTTCTCTACCCATAAAATAAGTCATAAATTATCTACACCCATGCAAAAGTACTGGGAGAAGAAATGTTCAAATGAAAGATATTGTAAAAGTATAACATGGTTTTACAAAGTTTAAAAGCTGTTCTGACCTCCACTTAAAGTTAGCATGATGTCAGACTTCCACAGAGAGGGTCTCCAAGAGAACTAGTCTCAGATGCAGTCGTGTGTTTTCTTTTAGCTACTCAAAATGAGTAACCAGGAAAGGTGTTTTATAAATCCAATCTATTTTCTTGAGAAAATGAATGAAGTTTATGTGTAACATATACCTATCATGTTAAAAGACTTTATTGTGAAGATAAGAATGTTGGCTGAGAGCCTCTTCCTTTCTATTTATATAACATCTGTCATCAGCATGGTGCCTGTCCCCTTCTGGGCTGCCAGAGACTCCCTACTTCTCCTTGACTGGTTATAAAACTGCCAGTCTTTTGCCTTCCCGGGCCACATTCAAGCTGTTCTGAGTTCTTGAATCTGTCAGAACAACCTGTGATTTGGATTAAGGTTGTATCAAGAAACTCAAAGACCCTGAGACAAATGTGGTTAAAAGCCGATATTTTCTTGATTTAGGATTGGGGACCAATGTCACAAGCTTTATTAAGGAGCCATTCCAAGAGAGCTGACCATACCAAAACAGTCTCATCCTGTCCTGAAGGGCTATGGTTTCCCTGCCGCATGGCTGGAGTCATTCTTCCCTCACAAAGCACATTGTGCTTTATAGATGCAGAGAGACTACACTTTCACCTCTAATTCAGGCTTGGAAACAAGCAGTGCTGAGCTGGTCTCTGGGGACTCACAGGCTCTGGAACCACTGGACAGAGCAAGGTTGGGGTGGGCTTTGACGTCCTCTTGCTGAGGTTCTAGGCTAACAAACTAATCACAAGGAATGGCTACTCGTAGTGCTGCTTGGGAGGCAGATGATACACTTGCATTTCCCTTTTTCCACGGTAAGGTGGTTCCTCGCTTTGAGAGAAACATGATTCTCATGGCAGGTATTTCCTATGTTCTTTAGCTCCCTGTGCCAAACTCTCTCCTCAGAACCTGTCACAGCCTTAGCCATAATAGATGCCCAACAAATATTTGTTGAATAAACCAACAAATGAAACATCGCTTCCTTATTCTTCTGTTGGTATTCTATTAAAAAATGAATATCCCACTTACAAGAACTTCAGAAGAACTTTCCCATTCTAAAGTTCCCAGAAATTCAAATGGATAAAATATTTCCATTTTAATTTTTAAAGATCAGAAGAATGCAGTGACCACAGTTTATATTTTCCCTCCTATTCTCCTCAGGGCCTGTGTTGCTCATTTAAATGCAATCCGCCGTATGTTTGGGTCAGTGGCCTCAGTCCGGAGGCTCTTACAGTAACTTGGCACTGTGGAAATCCCAGAAATTCGGCCAGGGTCTGGAGGAGACGTGTGGGGTTGGGGGTACCGAGGGCCACTCTCATTAAGCCTCAGGCAGTGGTCCGGCCTGCCTCGGGCAGCAGATCTCTGGGCTAGTTAGCTTGGTTTAGCATGGAAACAGTCAGCAATGCCTGAGAAAGCCACGAGGCCGGTCAAGATGACTAGGAAGATTATAAACCAGAAAACTTCCGCCTTGGTATTTGAAAACCACACGGAATTTTACAACATTCCTGCCTATTAACTGCTGGGAAGGGCACTACCTTATTGCCTTGTGCATAATGGAACCAATCTTTCCCCTCAGAGGCCCCCGTGTTGCTTTGATCAAGTTCAAAAGATGAGGGGAATGATGACTAAGGGCCTTGGGAACCAGACTGAAGAATCTCACAGACATACTCCAGGGTTTTTTGGGGATTGTTTGTTTTCTTTTCTGACGCATCATTTTGGTAAACAATTCCTATAGTCTGCGCACTTATCAAATTCCTTACCCAAATATTTGCTATTTATAAAATAATCAAGGAAACAGACTTGTGTTTATTATTCCTAAATCAGCCACAGTTTGATGAATTAAAAACAGTCTTACTTTTTCCTCCTTCCTCTCCCTTTACCAGCCTCTTGTAAAACTGCCAGCATGATACACCCAACTCTCTCTTTAGACAGTAAAAATGAAAAATAAAAGTGACCTTCGTGAACTGTGCATTGCTTCTGCATAGTCTGTTAGACTTCGGGCCAGCAGCCAACTCCCCTTAGCACCAGAGGTAGATCTTTGGAAGCGATTGAGTTGGAAAGGGATACAGTAAATGTCTGTTTCCGGTTCACAGGGGCCTCAGCGTCACCACATCGTTTGGACGTCTGACCAGTTTCCTGACTTTGAGAGTCTCTTACTTTAAACATGAGGGATCAGCCCTGGAAAGGAAAGGAAGACACACGCGAGAGTCTGCCTCTGACCCCACCGGCGGCCACTCTCAGGATGGGTCCTCCAGACGGGATTTCAACAGAATTGTTTTGATAGGGACAGTACTTTCTGTTGCTGTCCCGGGGCAGGGTGATGGTGAGGACACACGGTGCTCTCAGATCCTCTGTGTGGACAAGACCAGCTCTGGGCCAGCTTCCAGGAAGCCCCACTGGTAGCGACAGAACATGTCCAATTCAGAAAGCCCTTCAGGGCTGGTTCAACTGGATATTGTATTTAAATGGATCTAGTTATATTTCATATGTGTGAAAGAAAGGCTTTGTTAGATGAATACATCTACACTTTTTTTTTTACTGATTAAAATTTTATTATTTTGGCCAGGTACGGTGGCTCACACCTGTAATCCTAGCACTTTGAAAGGCCAAGGTGGGTGGATCACTTGAACTCAGGAGTTGAAAGCCAGCCTGGGCAACGTAGGAAGTCCTATCTCTACCAAAAAAACAAAAACAAAAAACAAACAAAATTAGCGGGCTGTGGTGGCACATGTGTGTAGCCCCAGCTACTCAGAAGACTGAGGCAGGAGGACTGCTTGATCCCGGGAGATGGACGTTGCAGTGAGCTGAGATCATGCCACTGCACTCTAGCCTGGGTGACAGAGTGAGACCCTGTCTCAAAAAAATTATTTTTTCTAATTTGCAAATTGGAATGTTTTATTTTTTATGTTTTGTAGGTACATAGTAGGTGTATACATTTATGGGATACGTGAGCTGTTTTGATGCAGGCATGCAATGTGAAATAAGCCTATCATGGGGAATGAGGTATCCATCCCCTTGAGCATTTATCCAATCACACTCTTAAGTTACGTTAAAATGTACAATTAAGTTATTATTGACTATAGTCATCCTATTGTGCTATCAAATAGTAGGTTTTACTCATTCTTTCTATTCTTTTGTACCCATTAATCCCACTTAAACTTTTCTTTCTGAAAGAGACAAACATGCTAAATTATCATGAGGAGAGAACCAAAGAATTCCAATGAATCATTTTGTTTAAAAAATAACTACAGTTATCCTTTATCAAACTAAAATTCCAGGTCTGCAACAACTTCGATTTGGCACAGCGTTGCTGCAAAGCTTAATGTGTATATTTACACACTTTAGCCCTCTAGAAAACCATCCTACTGTTGATGTCCCCATCGTGTCCTTATTTTCATGAGTATGTTTCTATGTTTCTAAGTGGAACAGCAAGTCTCACCTACCTTTAGAGTCCACGCTTTAATTGCTCTTATTCCTTTATAATATGCTGAGCTCCCTTAAAAGCTGGTTTCGGCCAGCCATGGTGGCTCATGACTGTAATCCCAGCACTTTGGGAGGCTGAGGCAGGTGGATCACCTGAGGTCAGGAGTTCGAGACCAGCCTGGCCAACATGGTGAAACCCTGTCTCTACTAAACATACAAAAATTAACTGGGTGTGGTGGCGGATGCCTGTAATCCTAGCTACTTGGGAGGCTGAGGGAAGAGAATCACTTAACCTGGGAGGCAGAGGCTGCAGTGAGCCAAGACTGTGCCATTGTACTCCAGCCTGGGAAATGGAGTGAGACTCCATCTCAAAAAGAAAAAATAAAAGCTGGTTCCTATTCTGCCAAGGTGAAACTGTTGGATGCTAACTTCTGAGGAGAATGGGCTCTGTTTGGCATGATTTGGCTGAGAGAGGCAAAAGCATGCAGCCTCCCACAGGAAACGGTGGGAGAAACACCAGCAGCAGATATAGGCAGGTGTTTATGCAAAATGGTGCACAACATATTCAGAAGTAAAAATTTCATGTTCATGAATACAAATTTCATTTACCATTATGAAAATAAACATTTCAGTAAATCATTTCATGATAACTAGAGGGATCCCAGAGGCAGGAGTCACCTGACCTTCCAAAATAATAGCAGCCAGGGTATGGCAGTGGCAGCAATGACACTTCTAGCTGCCAGTTACAGGCATCCTAGCAACCTCCGTCAGGAGAAGAGTGGGAGGGAAAATGGTTTTTTTTTTCCTCCCAGCGTTATGAAACAACTAGGGAAGCTAGTCTCTGAGGATTTGATCTAAGGCTCGCCCAAATTACTTTCTCTCAGGAACTTCTGCCTTGAACCAATTTTAGGCACCAAACTAGTTCTCTCTTGCTGGAAGAACGTGATTGTATTGTCTGAAATTGTGCATGCTTCCTTGTAGGATGCCAGTGGAAAATCCCAACCATGCTCTTTCCCACTAAGTTATTAGGATTTTGCTTTCCAGTAAATACAAAAAGAACATGCAAGCATGGCTAAGAGGTTTTTTTTCTAATTAAAAAGCTACATTTTTTATCTTAACATTTCTACTTCTGTAAGCTTTATGAGGACATGAGACCATACCATTTGTCTTTACATTCCCATAATACCCAGTAATATTTATGCATATAATTGCAGATGAATAATGATTCTTTTAGATAAAGAAGCTTGCCCACCCACCTCTACCACAAATGAAAAGCCTTTTTCATATAGAACTTTTTGGCCAAGCAAAGGCTCATGATATCTGTAATATCTGTGATAGAGAAGCAGTGAGGACAGTTCTTGTTCCACAGTCCAGTATGAAATTCTAGAATGATAATTGGGCTTTTCTGTTCACTTTCATTCTCGTGGAGGGAAGGAGGAATGTGAATAATTGAAAAACGAGTTATAACTCAAACAAAACACATATGAATCTGGCTTTGCTCTGTGGTGAATCCCACAACTCGATAGTGCCCTCGAATCTTTTCTGTCTGTCCTTAATTCAGACTCTGTCCAGTTGATCAAGACCCAGCTGGGAGGAGGATCCAGGAAAATGTTCCAGAGTGGGGATGGGAGAAGGTGCTGGAATGAAGGACTCAAGAGATGCATATGAAGCTCATTTTGATGCTTTATCACTTTGTATTCTTGGGAAATGCTTGTTCTGTGTTCATGCCTGAGGTTTCTTCTTGTCAACTTAGATGAATGGATTATAGAATGTATACATTTCCTGCTTGCACTGTGATGGAGAGTCCCATATAAATAAAAATTAGTTGACCTTTGCATTGTTGTGGTATTATGTCAAATGCAGAAAAGCTTAAGGGTATAATAATAATAACTAAAATGGATAAACTAAGTCTGACTTAGAGAATTATCAAAATCTTAAAGCATTTCAGGGACAAAAATGATTTTAAAAAGTAAACATTTGCATACTTTTAACCCAAGATTTTACCAGTTTCCTCCTACAACTTATTTAAATGCATATTTCAGTTATAATAATTTTGAGTAAATCCCCCAGTTGACTTGAATGTGTACAAACTTGATCCTGGCCATTTGAACCTGATACAATTCAGCAAATTTTGAAATTTGTATTCTAGTCATTCAAATAAATGAATAGTGTCATTTGATTATTTGACGTGATTGTTTTTTTAAATGGTTCTTTTGAAAAACTGCTTCTGGGTATCAATACTAAAATGAAAACACTGGTTAAAATCATAAAAGCAGGAAAATTAATTTCAGAGCATTTTAAGCCTCCTCTGCTTCCTGGGCTTACAGGGCTTCAGAAGTGGAGAATCGTTCTCTGATGTCACTGTTCTCTGAAAGCTGATCCATTCAAACCCATATGGTGGACATCTTTGAATCACATACTGGTTACATTTTTCAGTGCCTCGGAAAGCAGAATTTCCCCCCTTTTAATCCTCAAAAGCAAACTCAAATGAATTGTTTTACCCACCTGCAGCTTCCTCTGAGGAATACAACTCTTTAATTCAATTCATAATGTCCTCATATTCTACAACCTCCAAATTATCCTAAATTATTAAATCCTAAATGATTTGGGTTTAAAATTAAAATAAACAATTTTAGTTTTAAATCTAAACCATTGTTAACTGATTCTGAGGTGGGAAAATGGAGGACTTTTTTAGTGAAGCATCACGAAGATATTACACAAAGCCAGAAAATGTCCCATTTCTTTCCTTTTTTTTTTTTTTGAGACGGAGTTTCGCTGTTATTGCCCAGGCTGGAGTGCAATGGTACGATCTCGGCTCACCACAACCTCCACCTCCCAGGTTCAAGCGATTCTCCTGCCTCTGCCTCCCGAGTAGCTAGGATTACAGGCATGTGCCACCACGCCTGGTTAATTTTGTATTTTTAGTAGAGACGGGGTTTCTCCATATTGGTCAGGCTGGTCTCGAACTCCCGACCTCAGGTGATCCACCCGCCTTGGCCTCCCAAAGTGTTGGGATTACAGGCGTGAGCCACCGCACTGGGAAATGTCCCATTTCTTTAATTCTCTACTGCAATCTACATCTTTGCTAATCAATAGAGAGTCAACATGGTTCCACAGATTTTGGAAATGCAAAAACTTTTGGTTTTTAAAATCCCCTTTCAAGTAGAAAAATCTATCTGCTGAATAATAAAGACCATACAAGAGAAAATGGAGTGTGGGCCTTCCCTACTGGGTTATGCCTCAGATAGAGGTCCCTGGTGGTAGGGACCTAGATGGAGAGACAGTGTAATAGAATTGCATTAACAAGTGTTCAAGAGTGCAGAATCCACAAATGGGTGATGGGCAGGCCTCTCCTGGTCTTTGTCTCTACCCTGTCTGGCTTACAACCCTACATTTCTATGGTTGCTTCACTCCAATTAAACTTCAAGCTCAGCTTCCATCCTATGCAAACACCCTTTCATGTTTCTAGATCTCTTTCCTACCTGCACCCATCCCTGTTTTGCATCTTTGTCTTGGAAGGACAAATAGCATGGTAGAATTTTTAGACTGAAAATAAGATGTGGTTCTAAAAGTACATAATGTCACTATGTACTCATGAGCTCTTGATTCATGCCTCATTCCATCTGTGGGGACAGCCCACTGTTTGCACCAGGCTAATTGCTACATATCCTGTAAGACCTGGTGATGCCTCATATGCCCTGTGGAGCCTTTCCAACTCTCCCTTCCTCTGGGCTTACCACATATCCTGGGCAACTTCCACCATAGCTTTTGATAGACTGTTATGTGCTAAATTATGTCTCTTCCAAATTACTATGTTGAAGAACCCCCAATCCCTCAGTGTCACTGTATTTGAAGATGAGGTCTTTCAAGAGGTGACTAAGTTAAAATAAGGCTGTTAACATGGACTCTAACTCAATATGGTTGGTGTCCTTACAAGAAGAGGGAGAGACACCAGAGCTCCTCCCTCATGAGGAAAGACCGTGTGAGGACACAGAGAGAAGCAAACTATCTGCAAGCCAAGGAGAGAGACTTCAGGAGAAACCAAAGCTCAAACCTCTTGATACCTGGATGGGGCTTACAGCCTCCAGAACTTGTGAGAAAATACATATCTGCTTGTT